CCTCCGTCGCCATCGCCGTCGCCGTCGCCACTGCAGCCAGCCACCGTTTGTTAAAAACGTACGTCCTGTCTGCACTGTCCTCAAGTGACTGCCATTAGTAGTCGATCCGACGACAGATCACTGACGTCAGAAGAACGAGACAAGATCCACGCTCGCCCTTCAGGTGGCCTCCAGTGCGCCTCAGCAGCTTCTTATTAGTGGTTCGTTCGTCGCTAAGCGACGACTTCAGCCAGAACGCTGACCCGCATCCTAAATCGACGATTCATGGCGACCGCCCAAAGACAGCACTGTTTTCTGTGTGACCTGCCACGGATGCCCTGGGCAATGGTCAGCGACTTCTCCGAAGCCGTGTGTCGTGGTTGTGTGAATTACGAGGGCGCCGACCGCATCGAGGCAGTCATCGAATTGGCCAGACAGATGAAGCGCGCCCATGGATTCCTGGACTCGTCGGCTGCCGCAGCCGCAGCTGCCATGGTCTCCAAGGTAGCTCAAAACGGAGGTATCGCCGACTCGTTCGCGACCATGGCCGCCGCAGGTCTCCACGGCCGCGCTCTCAGCCCATCCGCCGCTCACCACCAGTTTCCGTCCCTCGCACGCAACCCGCTCGGCATTGACATTACCCCGGGAGGAGGTGCCGCGGGTGTGACCGGTGCCACCCAACGCATTCCGTCTGCCACAATCGCCTCTCTGAATGGAAGCCGTCTCGCGGAGGACCTGTCTGTACTCCACGGGGACCCGGCAACCAGGGTCGGTTACTACGGGGCCGCCGCCGGCGTCAGGTCCATCTCGCAAACTGTGCACGCGCCGCGACCCATTGGACTCTCTGGCATCGCCCTGCCGCCGACCATTTCTGCCGTTTCCTTGCCTCTGCAGACCCGTCCTAACTCCCGGCCATCGAACAACCCGTCCGCTCTCTTGAATCGCAAACGCTTCTCCACTGCCGATGAAGAAGACCCAGACATGAAAAGAACCCTCCAGGAAGAAGCAAAACAGGCGAATTACGACGCACGCTACCGCGGCGGCCGGACCAGTGAGTATTTTTTCACTTAACATACTCACCGACTGCATGACACGCTTTCTGGTAACTCATCGATCAGTGACACTATTTAACGAGTACTAATATGAAATAACCATCTCCGACAATACCATTAATTGAATTATTACCGAGATATCACACGTGGTAACCATGCGCAGCCATGGATGATTGTTCATATTGCAAAATCGTATTGGTTCCCCTACTATCACGTAGCAACCAATTTCTATACATTGGTTTGTGCTTCTACAAGCAACCTCCAAAGAATCACATTGCTTACCTGGGCCAAGTGGATTAACCGCGACGCTCTGCCACATATGAAGAAACTTGAAATGGTTGAGTGGCTCCTGTGTTGAAGGCAACCGCACCTGTAGGGGACTTATAGATGCGACTTATCACGTCACTCTTAACTTATGCTAAATCTATTTATTTGAAGAATGTTCAAATGACCACTCGTCCTGGAATAAACCATGAAAACACATCGTCATGAGACTCTGTGGTTTAAACCTCGTAGCAGGCGGTAAGGTCAGCATGTTTTTTCGTTGTTTCGAGTGCTGAATTAAGGATGGATTTTTAGCCCTGTCACGATGGCTCTCTTGTTGAGCCACTTATACGCGTGCTTGCAATATACATATCTGCTCAGACCCGGATTGATCACTCACTACAGTATCTGACTGATAGCCGAGATTTCTCAGGCTCGGACCCTGGATGGGTAACTCGTCTTTCTACTTTCCGATGTCCATAAATGAACCCCGCTCGGTGAGAAAGAAACAGATTACACACTACGCTTTCTGCATGGCTGACTGCCTTTAAAATAAAATACTCCTGGCTGATGGCACAGAAATGATGATCGGTCCTCAGTATTTACGTCATGAACAGGATAACGCCAAAAACGGCATTTAATGTCATTTATGCCATTAGTGTCATTAAAGTGTGTAGAAGATCGACATTGCGACGATTAAAAACTTTGGTCTTTTATTAGAGTCGAAAACGGCTATTACGTTCGATTGTGCAGGGTCAGTCTTTGACCATTTATTTGTTCGTTTTGATTTAACCGCCATTCATTGGATAAAAACGGTTCAAATTCTGAGAAATTTTTTTTTGATATCAGCTGAGTTTTCGACACCGGAAAGGTTACTGCTATTAATGTAAAACAGTGATGGCAGTAGCGGAAAGTGCTGTAGCAAATATACTAATATAGTGATCTGTTCATTCTCCTTTGTTAGGAATGCTTAGTGTTGAATATCTATGAGATGTCTAATTTTCCAACACCTTATCGACATTTCACGTATGAATTTTCTACCTCATTTGCAAGAGCACATGTCCGTACTGGACGCAACGAGTCCTTCAGGCCTAAAGCCGAAATTTTTTCCGAACTTATTGTGTCATGCCAAGATGTCCCACCGCAGATGAACTTGTGCATTCCTTGCGTTCGATTGTTCCGTCCGTAACCCATTTCTTGGTCTGCATATTTCAACAGCAAAAAACTCGAAGGCGATTAAAAGAAATTCCGAACTCTGAAATACGGAAACGAAGTCACCTTCGTGCACACGTGTTTGTACGGTATTTTTTCTCTTTCGCAATTGTCGCAGTGTTCTGTGAACTGGTTAACAGAGGGTCGTATGCCGCCACCACTGTGGTCGAAAGTGAACCACCTGGTCAGCGTACCCGTAGTCGATAAACCGTTCGTCGAGTGCAGTACTCGGACTTCGTGACTTCACAACTTATATCCATCTTAATCATTGACAGCCCAACCAGTTTTAACTTCGGTTATTTTTTTACTTTGGTAGTTGGCACGTCATGAGGTACGTCACAACGGAACGCGATCGAAATGACGCAATTTCTTCTCTGTGAGTATCGGAGGGAGGCAAAATCAGGGTTTCAACAGATTAAAGCCATCAGATCCATCTTGCCATAGGAATTCCAGGTCCAATAAGGCATAGTAAAACAAAATAGTGTTCACGGAACGAAATGACTCTTTCGGCTGCCATCGGTCTTTGCGAAAATTGCCGCTTCGACTTTTAACCTTCCTGAAATTACATGGAGATTGACTAGTCCTCATTTGATGTTCAGGTTGTTATGTATGCCTTTTTTGTTTTGGTGCGCATAAGTTGTCTGTGGGGCATTTACCAAGCCTGGTTTTCTGGCGAATTGAATAAAGTCGAGGCCGCCGTCCTTCTGGCCCAAGGACAGGCGCGATGGAGACAGTTGGGGCCATCCTCGGCGTTCAAAGTCACACGTGAGGATCAAACCTACAGGATTTGTCCCTCAGTTTAACGTAAGCTAACTCCAGGCGGCATCGCATCCACGTTGCCCGATGTAGTAATTAGTTATCTGCTATCTTTCGCATTGACCAGTGTTGTTGCCGGAAAGAGAATTTGGTGGATGTCTGTTGTGTACCGAAACTGAATCCTATGTCACCAGACAACACGACAAATGAATGTTTCGAATTCGTGCTGGAGGCTATTCATCACTAAACTATGGCAGAATACGAATCCTGTCCTTCCAACCGAGTCCGCAATGGCTGATTCTTTCCGTCTGCCTGCCTGCCTGCAAGAACCGGCGACCATTTGGAGAGAATGACAGAGGGGCGACGCAAATCGTCTTTCTGTCGGTCGTTTCTTCTATCAGTTCATCTATCCCTAGTGCCAACTGT